GGAAGGGGCGCGGATGAGCCGACCGGCGGAGGGAGGCGGTGGGGAGGGGGCGGCGCTGCCTGGGTTTTGACTTGGCACCGCCTTCCTCCCCGCAGAGGCCTCGTGATCGCGATGGTGGCCAGCTTAATCTTCATCGTCCTCCTCCGCTTCCTGGCCGGGATCATGGTCTGGGTGATGATCGTGATGGTGATCCTGGTGCTGGGCTACGGTGAGCGAGCGGTCGGGAGCTTCTCGCTGCCTTTCCCCATTTTCCTTTCCCTGCCTTGAGCTGCGTGGAGCAAGTCCCTGCGCCGTGTCCTCCCTCTTCTACCTGAACGTCGGCATCGGCGGGGCCGAGCAGAGCCTGGCCGGCACCTCGGTCTCCGTTTTTTGGTGCAAATAAGACCATTTTCTGCTTTTCGCCGCAGGAATCTTCCACTGTTACATGGAATACGCGAAGCTAAAAGGGGAGGAGGGTTCCGACGTCTCCCTGAAGGACCTGGGCTTTCAGACTGACCTACGCGTCTACCTCCACCTGCGGCAGACGTGGCTGGCGTTCAGTAAGTCCCCGTCCCCCCCTGGAGGCAGGATGGGACGCGGCGGGTGTCCCCAGCCCCGGTGCCTTTGAGGGCTGGCGCTTGGCGAGGGCAGAGCACGGGGGCTTGGGGGCTTCTCGGTCTCTTTGTGGCGCCTTGGGAAGGGTTGGGGTAAGGAGGGGGTAAGGAGGGCGGCTTTGCTCGGTGCCACCGCTGCCGTCCCCCGAGGAGCGTTCGGTGCCGCGACAGATTGACGTGGGCGTCGGGCGCCGTCCACGCCCTGGCGCTACCAGGGGCTTCTCCTTCTCCTCCCAGTGATCATCCTGTGCATCGTGGAGGTGGTGATCATCCTGCTGCTCATCTTCCTCCGCAAGAGGATCCTCATTGCCATCGCGCTCATCAAGGAGGCCAGCAGGTCCGGGCGGCCCCTCCCTGTCCCCGGGCAGGGGTGGCGGGTGTCACCCGGGCTTCTCCTTCTCCTCCCAGTGATCATCCTGTGCATCGTGGAGGTGGTGATCATCCTGCTGCTCATCTTCCTCCGCAAGAGGATCCTCATTGCCATCGCGCTCATCAAGGAGGCCAGCAGGTCCGGGCGGCCCCTCCCTGTCCCCGGGCAGGGGTGGCGGGTGTCACCCG